AGGATCCTGATTCAAGCAAACTAACCACAAAACAGTATTTTTGAGGGAGAAAATAAAAACATAGACTAAGTACTAGGAGAATATAATAAACTGTAATTATTGGGTGAGTGTAGTGAAGACATATTTTTTTAAAACTTCATCTATTAGAAGTATATACTGAAATACATACAGATAAAATAATATGTCTGCACAATCTGCTTTAAAATACTCTGGCACAGTGGTTCTCAAGCTTCCTAATGCTGGCGGCCCTTTAATACAGTTCCTGTGGGTCACAACCCACAGGTTGAGAACTGCTGCTCTAGCACAAGGCCAGGTGCAGTGGCTCACGCCTATAATCCTAGCATTCTGGGAGACCAAGGCGGGTGGATTGCCTGAGCTCACAGGTTTAAGTCCAACCTGAGCCAGAGTGACACCTCATTTCTAAAAAAAGCCGGGCGTTATGGTGGGCGCCCATAGTCCCAGCTAATCAGGAAGCTGAAGCAAGAGAATCACTTAAGCCCAAGAGTTTGAGATTGCTGTGAGCTATGATACCACAGCATTCTCCTGGGGGCAACACAAGTAAGACTATGTCTCAAAAAGAAAAATATTCTAGCATAAACAAAACAGCAACAACAAAAATGAGGAAAGAGATAAAACAAGAGTAGTGTAACATAAAGTTAATGGTTTCTGTCAGGAGATATGTGGATTTATTATACTATTCTCTCTCTCACTATACTCTTAGAAAACTTCCATAATAAAAAATTTTAAAACATTAAAATGAAGAAGAGAAAAGCAGAGGAGAGAGAGGAAGGCTAAATAAAGTAGAACAAAGATGACTAATGCCCGAGTAGTAAAAGGTGGCTTAGGAAATAACCAATGATACTAACAGCAAAAAAACAAGCAAGGATTTCAGGGTGTCCAATCTTTTTTCTTTTCTACTGCACACTGGAAGAGTAAGAGTTATTTGTCTTGGGACAAAAATACACAAACAAAAACTGATAAGCAAAATCAAAGGTCCATGCATACTTTTCACAATATCACCACAAATTGGACACCTCTGTGAGACAATGGGTCACAACAATGAATACAAACAAAGGTCCTGGCAGAAGTGTCAGCAGGAATGCCCACAACTCTGTAATACTGAGTACCCCCAGAACATTACAGTACAATTGAGAATATTCATTGTAGGACACAGTCATTTCAATGATTAATATAAAGGTTATAATGAAAGGAAAGAGAAAAGATGACAGAACACTGTAAAAGCAAAAAAATGTAAAACTGAAGGGAAGTTATGTTTTGGCAAAAGCTTATACATATGAAATAAGCTCACAATGAATTTTTCCATGCCATAACACAAGACCAATAAAATGTTCTAAGATTTTAGAAGTTATCTTTTCTTTTTTCTTTTCAGACAGAGTCCCACTATGTCACCCTCAGTAGAGTGCTATGGCATCACAGCTCACAGCAACCTCAAACTCTTGGGCTTAAGCGATTCTCTTGCCTCAGCCTCCCAAGTAGCTGGGACTACA